GCCAGCCCAGCCCGATGACGCAACGCGCTCGCGGCGCACAAAAGGCGAAAGAAACAGCTCCAAACGAAGAGGCTTTTTACTCTCTCACTACCGCTTACGATGCACACAGAAAGTTATGTAATGCTGAGAGAAGAAAACTGACAATTTTCGGCAGAAAAACTCTTATTACAAGGCTCGAGATGTGGCTGAGTACCAAATAACGTGATAAAAAGAAATGGGCGACTTCTTGCCCAGTCTATCCGGCTTCAGCCACGAGCTTCAGGCACCTGTTTCCGTCAATGTTAGCGGGAATTTTAAATGCTGCCAGATACCAAAATTATCGCTTGGTTACAAGACATTGAAACAGGTTTATGAAGCATTCCTTTTAAATATTTCATCTTGTACATCTTCGTCGTATTAGTTTTGGTTGTCCCCCATTTGAAAAAAAGCCACTTCGCAACGTTTCTCAACACTCGTGGCTTTCCATGCAGCACAGCGGTCGCCGGCTGGGCTGGCGTTCAGCCCAAGTGGCTGTGGTTCGGTCCCTCCGGCCTCGCCCACGCCTTTCCGCCTCGCCACTTAATACCGGGGTCGCTGGTGGACCTCTCGCTGCTTTCTCGTCCTCTACGAAGCGGTAGACGTTCTTTAGCAGCGTTTCCAGTTATTTGACGTTCCTGCGCCGTTTATTCTCGCGCACCCGGCCTTATTACTTTCTCCGTGCACCCAGTGCAGAGAAAGTGCACGGCCTGTGGTGGAAGGCATGCTGACCGACATTACTGCTCACGATCTGACAAATTGGATATTCCCTTAATGACTTGCTGAACATGGATACTACATTGTATCTCGGTGTTGCAACACAAATTATAAAAAAGCAATGAAAAAATGGTATCATTTTCGTTACATTAATTAGCAAAAAATCGGATTTTCAAGAAAATAAAATTGTACATAAAATTAATGAACTGTGCTTAGTATTATTCTAAGTTCATTGTATGCTTGTTTACGATCCGATCACATCTACATGAACTGATCTGTACTCATAACATGAGAATTCTGGTGAGCTTGTCGTCTCTGTTGTTATGGGACTGCTTAAACGCTACTATGTTGTTTCTTAGCTTATCCATCATCCCAGTTCACGAAAGGGGAACAGTTCACGTAGTGAACTGTGGCCATTCGTAATATTTATGTAGAGTAGCATGGGCGGTTTGAGCGTCCTTTTACTGTACTCTGGAAGGTTGACCGCCAACCACAAGGGAGAAGCGCCGTTGCCACAGCAAGATTCCTGTAGGACGTGACGGAACACGCCCTAGCCAATGCATTGAAATTGAAACACCGTAACACGAATTATAATCCTATCGAATAGGTCTGAATACTTCTCGAACATTCAAGAAGAATTCTGAAAAAGATGTGCCTTTTATTATATTATCCACAAAACGCTTTTGGAAAGTTACGGTAAATGAGCAATAGTTCATTCCATTTCTGTCAGAGCGACGAACTGTCTGACACTTTGTAAGCGAAATACTTCTAGAATATTTTTAAAGCGTCGAGGATGCCACACTAACCTACTAATAAATATTTCTTTTATATGTTTCCACATGTTACTTACAGTGCGGAAACAACGTGCACTCAAAATATTCGGAGGTGGTATGAGCGACAGGGAGGAGGTCTCAGCTACTGCATCGCATGCAGTTAGACGACAAAAATACTGCAGAGAAACATTGTTACCAAGACATGTGGAAGTGGTAGAATGCAAGCAGAATTTTAAGATCACTAACTACGATTCGTAAGTGGGTGCTTGCTGTGTTCCACCTTGTTTGGAATTAAATACATCAACAAATATTACCACCCTATCTCGAAAGGCATTAGCAGGATCCGAAAATCCGTAACCTGCTTTTAAAGCATTACAGAAATATTCTTTTTTGTGCCCGCTCATGTAGAAGCGCTGAAATGAACAGTTTGGATCTTTTTATCACAGGAGAGTCCGCGATCTCAATGTTACCCTACATTTAGCTGACCAAGCAATATCAAAAAATACGATAACAATTATAAAAACGATTTTCTTATTGGTTAATTCAAAAATAATACACTACATTTATTAACAAAAAATTTGACTGACTAATTTTTCACTCGTGGTCACTTCGGACTGAAGAACTGTCAATTTACGGATATCTGAAAATCATTGTTTTTAATTTTTTTCATTTAAAAATAATAAATCAACAAATTAAAAACGTCTAGCCCAAATCATCGATGTTACAAACCTTCGGCTTCAATACTTTAATGTTTTTATAGAATGATGGATGCTGCAAAGAAAGGATTGACAACACGGTCGCATCGCTACTTGCAATTAAAAGCACCGCCGTCTAGAGACACTAAATTTGAAAAGTTCCCAAATTAACTGTTTTAAAATACAATTAATTAAATTTATAGATTTCTAAATGCTAAAACTCCCAAATTTAAAGTACTATTTTTAAAATTTTATTTCTGTCGTTCACAGGTCTTTCGCGGGCTTTAAACTGTCCACTCTGGCAGATTTCAGAAATGTGTATCCCGTAAATTGTGTGTTGGATCCGATCCGATTTGAGCGCCTGTGGTAAACAAAAGGCAACGCAGGCTTTCCTCGGCAGGTGTGTGGTGTTGAGGGGGGAGGGGGGCAGGTCCTCCTTGCTAAGTGGAGCGGCGTCTGCCGCGCGGCGCCACTAGCGGAGCCTCCCCCCCTCCCCCCTCCCCAACCTTTCACGCCTCGTGCAGGAAGCTGCCTGCACAAGTTTGCACAATTGCCCGTACACGTCAAGTATCTTTTTTTTTGCTATTGAAATACACTATAATCCGCTCCTATCATTCAATGGCAAGGTTATTTACGTATTGAGTGATATTCTTTTCTTTTGTTTTCATATTAGGACCCTTTTTTCCAACTATGCTTCGCAGTTAACACTTCAATCCATTATAGGACATCCATCTGACTGTAAATCAGCTGTTTTAATGGTTAACTCATAATACATTATCTTAATAGTTAATGAATAAAAATATGATTTTGTTATTCCATCATTTAACTATCGTTTTAATGATTATAATAGAGATGAGAAAATACATTTAAAAAATAATTTCATTCCTATAAACAATACTCTAATCACCTTCAAAATTTAAAAATTAAAAAATTAAACAGTATTCAAAACAATTATTCTTTGATCTCCGTTTATTATCGGAATAAAGGAAACTCTACATTTACTGGGAGAAAGTCGGGTGGAAGTCGCATTTTCCCCTGTCGCGGCCACTGGTTCTTGGGTAGTGTATTGTGCGTCCACTATCAACAAAACATCGGGAAAGTGAGCATTACAAGTGTGGAAGTGACCTGCGGGGGGGGGACATAAAATACTCCGCAAACAGCGCAAGTTTCACTGTCATTATCTCGTAGAAACCGTCACAAGTTCAATTTGTTTCCTTGAATGAACACGCAAAGCTGTCATTAAAGTTGGATTTTTTAACAGCGAAGTTTTCTTTGCCAAAGGAAATAAGAGAATCGAAAGTAAGAGGCGCTCACTTACGGCGTCCTTTTCCAGATTCTGAGCTTCGTCGTCTGCGCTTCGGGAAGCGAATGTGGGCTTCAAGCGCCGCTTAGCAGCCGCGCATTTGCGGGAGTCTGATTGCTGACAGGGAATTCGGGGCTTTCCAAGGCCCCCTCTTACCATTGCATCGTTCTCGTAGCTGCGTTGCCAGGCTTTCTCCAGGTCATTGGTTTATCGGTGATTTGTAGTTGGAATTTAAAATAAAATAATTAGAGGCGTTGTCATCAGCGCATCAGTTTGGAAATCTGATGATGGTTAAGCCATCGAAAGATCGTTTCAATAAACCATATGATTCAGAAAGGCAATGCCTGTAATTATTTTATTTCCACAGTTTTCCAGATAACACAAGAGATATTCGTAAAAAACTTTCGTATTTAATATAAATCATGATATTTTATCATCAGCTATTTTTTTACGTTGCAAACACGTTTGTTTTTTTTTTTTTTTTTGCAAGAAATAGTTACAATTGGAATACTATAATACAGTTCTGGTTCTACTATAAAAACTAAAATGTAGAAATTTAGATTCTATCGCTCGATTTACTTTCATTTTTGAGTAATTCTCAAGAAAATGTTGCGTTTCGGGATGGCAGAGTGACGTATCCCAGTTTGCCTGTTTCGACCTTGCGCGGGGGGAGGGAGCCAATTCAGTGCAGTGTTGCCAATCGATGTATCGGTCTTTTTCTTCGCTAGCGCCCCGCCCGGCTAACGACAGTAGCGGCGTCGCAACCCGGAAGGCACGCGACTATCACGCTTGCGCGCGCGCACACACGCACCCACACCCGTGCTCACGCCCACGCCCACGCCGGGCGCCCCGCTCCGCCACGCCCCACACGCAATGCGTTCCGGCCCCGTTAGCCCACTGCGCAGGACAGATCACTCCGCGCCACGCCACGCCACGCCACGCCACAGCATGGCATGCCTCGTCACGTCGTGTCGCGCCCCGCCACAGCACGCCTCATCGTGCCATGCCGTGCCACACCAGGCCATGTCCAGCCCTGCCATGCCTCACCTCGGCAGATTGCGTCATGTCGCCTCATGCCACCAACACACCACGCCATGCCGCGGGAAGCCACAGCACACCTCACCCTCCCATGCCGCTCCCCGGCACACGTAATGTCCCGGAGTGCCTCATCATGCCATGCCACGCCATGCCACGCCATGCCACGCCATGCCACGCCATGCCACGCCATGCCACGCCATGCCACGCCAAGCCACGCCATGCCACGCCACGCCATGCCACGCCACGCCACGCCACGCCACGCCACGCCACGCCACAACCTGCCTCACCCCGCTACATCATTCCAAACCACATTCATCCACAGAAACCAAGACACGGCATAAACGTTATTAGAACATGCTAAAGCAATCTGAGTAATTTTATTTATTTATTCACCCGTCTCCGCTTTACTTCCTCCGCCGAGTATCGCCCCACACCCCGCCCATCACCAACCGCAAGCGCCTGCGCACGCCGCTGCAACGCCACCCCTTAACACACACATGCACTGCGGGTTGCGTTCATTTTGTTTTTTTTCTATAACAAATTCTGTTGTAACGTTTTGAAAAGTTAATCCCCCAGGGCAAACGTTGGTTGAAATTGATCATTGATTTCTAGAAGTAAGCAGGAGAAAACACGTATTCCTAAGCACACACACTGACACGATATTTTGGTTTTACCTCATCATTGAATACAACTAATCGGATTTGTGCCTCCGGGCTAGTAGCAAGGCCGAGTTATGCCCCTGCCTTGATGAATATTCCAGATCCAGAGCACGCAATTCAGTTGCTTTTAGGATTCTTGCGATAACTTTCAGGAGGAATGCCCGAGCAGTTTCTCCAAACTTCTTAAATCCAAATTTTATCCAATAAATTCATTGTTGGCAATTTTATGTGATTGCTAATGCGATTTATCTACTTCCAACATAAGAACTGAAGAGAATTTCCTATGTTAGATCGTGCATGCAATATACACTAAATGTTTTTACATATCCATTCATACACTCGCCCGCCCGTGCGTACGTTCACATATGCAAGTGATCGTGCAGAGCATTTGTGAGTAAAGATATTTGAATGGCTCGTAGATATGTCATTAATTGTTTGCGCTGAATGAACTCTTATACCATAAATTGGTATTTTTTTATTTATGTTTCAAAAATAACAACGACTTTTGGAGGCGTGTAGAGAAAAATTATCTGCACACGTTATCTTAAGTCCCGTGATTCCTTAGCGCCTCTTTTACTGTAAACAGCTGAATTGTGAAAAAAGGTACGAAGGGGCATGCATAATCAATTAGTCGCATACATTGGATGCTATCCGCGGGTCCTGGCAGCGCTTCACAGTTCCGCCCGCGCCCCTGCCCAACTTTCTCGCCCCGCCCATCCCCCGCTGGGCTGTGGCTTTCGCCCCTCGGCAGGGGGTCGTTCCGCCCACGCGCCCGCCACACTCTCCCTAGGCCGTTGACCCCGGCCCCCCGCCAACCCGCCAGGCCCACTCCCCACACTGGTTCGTCAGCGAGGTCGAATTCAGCCGCTGGCTGGAGGAGAATTTCCTGCTCTCATCGGCAGCTCCCCTTGGATTCGCCAACAAAAGGGAGATGCCTGATCCGTGCCCTAACAAATCTTTCCTTCCTCTTCGTTGTCCTAACTTCAACCCTTACACATACATGCATTACACTCCCACACATATTGGGAGAGCCGCCAGATTATTAATATAAGTTATTTATAACTTATGTTAATGCAGTGTATGGTCACTTTGTTGTAATTATTAACTTTATTATGTTTTAATACCAAATCGCATTTCTTAACGACCATTTTAATGCAATAAAGTTTTAAAGGTCATTCCTATGTCTGAGGCAGAATGACAAATGTGAGGCCAGTTTTCTTGGCTAACTGTCTATCTTTAGCGAGTGGTTTCCAGCCACACCTTTTCCCAACATGAGTTGTTGTTGTTGTGATGCGCAGGGGAGCCGTTCCGCGCGCAGAAGGACGACCTGATCGCGGAGCTGAAGATGTCCAAGGACATCTCGGGCATCAAGAAGCTCAAGGTGGAGCGCGCCAAGGACGAGCAGCGCCAGGAGAAGCAGCTCATGGTCGAGGTGCGTCTCCGCTCCGCCTTCGCTCGCGCGCTGCGTGCTCTCTTACGGCACAAAATTTTACAACACAAACAGAGTCAAGTTAACCTCTAGTTAATGCGTAAAGCTAAATCATTTAAATGAAGTAAAAAATGAAATGTTGTACGTTTCACAAGTGTTAAGTGGTTCTAATGACCTCGCTCCAAAGGTCCTCTCGTTTATTACAACCCTTATAACGTCCTTGGTTCTTACACAACTATTACTTTCTCAAAGAACACTAAAAACTGCTACATACGTTTTCTTGAGCTCCAGACTCTCTTCTCCACCCGTTTAAAATGCATAATTGTGTGATTAACTGTAAATGTACATTCATCTGAATAGTTTTTTTTTAATATTAAAATAGTAAAAGCGTGTATCCATAAAGATGAAAACATATCCTTCCAATTCCGATTGAACCACTTTAGTTGTTGAGTCTTTAAAAAAGTGTGGAGTATCGAACCTCTCGGAGAGGTGACGGAATCGAGAACTTCTGTACAACTGTAAATGTAGCTTCACTATGCGCACATTTTGTTGAACTCCCCTTTTGCTTGTAGTGGTAAGAGTAAAGGTAAGGGTGAGTTACTATTTCGTTAACAATGCAGATAATTCATACCTGAGATTCGTTTACCAATGCAAATAAGTTTTCTATAACCCAGAAACGAAAATGACTATTTTTCCAATATTGCTAATCTTGCGATTTTTAAAATTTATTTATTTATTTATTTATGTTTAACAGTTAGTCGTCTTTCAGGTATTTATAGTTGAAATGACGGGAAGGGATTCTGGAAGTCAAGAAAACGTGCGCAGATAATCTCCCCCCCCCCTACGTCGCACACTGTTATTTTTCGAGTGAATAAATGTGAGTGCGAATGCGAATGCGGCGCAGGTGGCGCGCGCGGTGTCGGCGCAGACGTTCGTGGAGCAGATCCCGGCGCGCGACGCGGCGGGCAACCCGGTGCCCGAGTGGAAGCGGCAGATGCTGGCGAAGAAGGCGGCGGAGCGCGCGCGGCGCGAGCTGGAGGCGCGGCTGCAGCGCGAGGCGGAGGAGAAGCGCCTGCAGGCCATCCCGGCCTGGAAGCGCCAGCTCATGGCCAAGAAGGAGGAGACCAAGTGAGTGCCAGCGCCCCAGGGCTAGGACTTCATCACTCACTCAGGCAGACTGGGATACCGACAAGTGTGTTCGTGTTCGGCCAAGCAAAGGAGACTTTATAAGCTAGGATTTGCTCACAAACACTACGTTTTGGTCAGAATACTACGGTGCAAATGGGTATTCAAAAATGTTGATAGAGCTAATATTTCGAGGTGTAAGTAGGAATATTTGAAATGGGCTGATAGTTGAATGGTTTAAAAACGAGCATTTCAACGTGCAAAGGTTTACCGGTCTCAAACGAATATGGGACAGATGGGTAGGCATGCTAAAACAACTTGATACGCGACCTTACAGCAGGAGCCGGGGATAAAATGAAAATCAGGGGTTGTACCGGTTATCAATATGGGTTATTACAATAAAGTGGGTTTTTGTGAGTGAGCAATCCACAATCAAGTATATTTTACGTTTCATTTCCTTTCTTGTATACTTCTTAACTTTCTGTGTTTTCAGTTTAACTAAATTTTATATTATTAAACTTATATGGTATTTCGGTGCTTGCTTTTTTAACCTGCATGCTTGAACTATTAACACATGTATCATGTTTTTTTTTAGCAAATCTAGTAACTCCATTTTTACTCTTTCACTTTCTCCTAACTACACAATAATGTATTAAAGTGAGTAAAAAAGAATTTTATTGCGCTGAGAATCTTACATAACTGAATTGCAGTAAATTCAACGGGAAAGGCAATTGTTGTCATCTTTGCTGCTGTGTATAATTGATCAGATGGAGTTGCGAGGTATGAATGAAAGTTGAAAGAATGAAAATTTTGAATAGAAATGTTGAAGATCCAAAAGTTGCATACTGTGTTTGATTGGGAATAAAAATCGTCGCCAAGCTAGTCCAGACACATCATGTTTTTATTTGCAATTGTAATTATTTTCAAGTAGATATCGTGTTTATTAATAACGCTATTTTGATTCCAATGATTTTCGATGGCTTAGCAATCAATTATCACACTTGGGATCTTCGAATCATTTCGCATTATATCGATGACAGTTTGTCTCAATGCCAACACCTCTACACCAGCAGATCGATATTCTGTAATTGCACATTGTATCTCCTTTTTCTTTTTTCTTTCGTCCAGAAAACTAACCGCCCCCACTAGCACTAACCAAGGGTAGGCGCGCGCCCTCCCTCTCGCCCGCGCCCAGCGCTAAGCAGACGGGTTCTTCCAAGGTCGACGGTGGTGTACACGCCCCGCGTGGACGACAAGCGCGGTGCTGCCCCCAGGGACGAGAGCTGGCACCAGCAGGCGCAGCGCGGCGCCGACGCGGCCCCTGGCGGCGACGGTGGCGCCGTCAACGGCACCAACGGCACCTGCGCCGCCAACGGCGAGGAGAGCAACAAGGAGAACAAAACGCCGGCGCCGGCGGCCAGCGCGGAAGCCGAAGACGACAACGCGCCCATCATCCCGTGGCGAGCCCAGCTGCGCAAGACCAACAGCAAGCTCTCGCTCGTCGAGTGAGTCGCCCGCCGCGCCGACAGATGGCCCGGGGCCGGGACCTCGCAAGGACGTTACGAGCAATGCACTACGGCCGTCACCGTCGCCTCCTTAGAATAATTATTTTTTATATAATATATTTTTTTACCGAGGGGCAAGTGAAGGGAGAGATGTTGTCATTCGTGTGGCGAAGAAGAGATTCGCGACCGCCTCTGTTCCCCTGCCAGACGAAGTCGAAAAGCCCGTAAATGCAACACTCCGTTGCCGCCATGGAATCTACGTGCAGGTGCGGTAAAATGGACGCTTGACTCAGTTGTGATTCATTTAAATTATTTATCAAGTGGTATATTAACATAGACATTAGAATTGCCTATGATGTTGTACATAAAAGTTGTCGAGGTACTAATCGTGTGTTAGTGCACGTAAGTTCGAAACGAGTATAAATAAATCAGGTCTAATGTTCCAGTGGTGATTGGTACAGTGAATGTCTGAAATCTAAATTATTGCTAAGGAAATTCTGCTGTTTTGATTTGTATACGAAAGGTTGTGCTGTGGGCTTGTAGGTTATCTTCTTGTTGATTGATGTTGAGCACAACTTTCTTGATTTGCATAGTTACATAAATATGTTATACACACCTGTTAATTAAGAATACTGTATGGTTAAAAAGAAAATAATTATCTTTATCAGCTGGAATTAAGGCACAGAAAAGGAAGAGGGCTGTACGTTGATTAAATATTTCTGGAAGACAGTAATCTTTCATACAAAGCAACACAGTAACATGAAATACTACCTACACACTATTTAGAAAAAAATATTTGTGTAAATTGATATTGTGCATGGTCATTCCTTGATTATTCTTGTATAGCTGAGGTTCCTGACTCAAACTGATTATGTGTGAGAACAGAAGAATCTTCAACAAGATGTTGAGGAAATTCCTTCGGATAGGAGTGCATCACAAATTACAATTCTAAGGGGCAATGGTGAAACACGAGAGGATGTGCATCCATGGTCTATGACCTGTGCAAGGCCACAAAGGAAGCAAGGTCACAGATGCCTTGAATGGTGGAGAACTTCCGCTAACGACATGCAGCCATTGGGGGTTGCTGATCTTTGAAAGCGCAAAGATACACGACAACACTGATATGAACAATGGCTGAGAAGCTATATGCTCTACTTTGGGGACCCATTCAGTAGTTTATGACGTGAAGTGCAATGAACACTCTTAGATATTTCTCTACCATGGTATTCAGGTGTTGAAAGCAAGTTTCACACCAATTATACAATGAGTGCTTATGCGATGACCGATTTAACTAACCATTTGTTATTTGTGGTTGCTGTGCATTATAGATTATTGGTTTTTTGAAAAGCATTTTAGTAGTAAAGTAACAGTCATAAGTTGCAAAGCATTCTCAATGTGAACACAATTAACAATAAGTATTGTAATAACATTTCCTTACCACAGCATCTTTGGCTTTGTCAGTTTATTTCCAACTATATATACATTTTGGTTAAAATGCATTTAAGATATTCATTATGAAATACAATTGGATTTATTCAGTCACAGAATGACGTGGTGTAGTTATATGCAAATAAAGAGCAATAATGGTTTAATATATTTATTTTTGTATCTAGATACACTTTCCTTTACTCACAAAAATTATTCAATTTGGCAACTCGTTGTTTTGATATTTTGGACCAATAGGACAGTTATTTTGATACATTTATTAGGTCACGTAAATTAAAATATGCGAGTGATTTCCAATTCTAGGATATGGTCATTTAACGTCGGTTGTTTTTGGGAAAAGAGTTCGTGAAATGTAAAGCAGAATGATGTAAAAATAATCCATATAATATAAACTCTTGAAATGTAAGTTATGTTAATGTGTACAATACTGGTCAAAGATGCAGTATCGTGATTTGTACATAGATTTCTATGTATCTATATGTATCCACTTCTTTCTCCCTCTGTAAGTTTTGTGTACGCAATAAATTTCGGTGAATACTTGTTTGTTTTATTTCATTTCACATTTCATCCCTATTTCACGAGGAAATTGTTCAATAATATTGCCATGTTCTAGTGAACTTAGCTATAAGAGGAGGAAGAAAGTACTGAGCAAAAAAAATCGAAAATAATAAAACCTTAAACGATTACGGTGTGTACAAAAATCAGACTCTCCGTCCCTCATATTCCTCTCCTGCCATCTTTTTGTCCCTTTTCTTTCCTCTTCATGATCTTACTCGCCGTGTAACTGTGATGAAACTTAGAGGACATTCTCAGGTCCCTCACAACTTTTTTTCTCCAAGAATAGGAGTTTCTGTAAAAAAATTGATCTAAAGGTATTTAAAATTCAACTGAGTGATCAATCCAGATAATTACATTAATTAATCGAACTGATAAAAAATAATTAAAAATGAACTCTGAAATTTAACTTTTTCTCAACGTGTCCCTTGTGGTAGTATATACGCTTCTGTCACTAGGTATTGTTTCAAAACATGTCACTGTCTTGGCTTGAAGGGTCGCGGGTTCTTATCACGCCCCAGGCACGAATGTTTTGTATGTTGTGAGTTTGTGTTCCTCCGTCGTTACTCAACAGTTAAAATTTAGTGATCGCTATATGACCAAACAGTTGAGAAAGAGACTTTAAATAAATAAATAAATTTTAAAAAACGATTTGGTTGAAAACGTTTCCGGACTTTATTTTTACATTCTTATTCCGTTATTACCTTAACACAAAACTTAGAACTTTAATTTAACATTGCGAGCTCCTGTAGTAGGACACGTGCGAGATGCCTTTTTGAGAACCGAACAATTGAGTAAGTCTCCTGTTCGTTGTACAGCCTCTCAACTTTTATATTCCTTCTGCCAGATCCGTCGACAAAATGTGAGTCACTTGTCATTATACTTTCAAACATGGTTTTCAACACTTTTTTACATTTTCACGTTACACATTCACATTCATGAGGATGGACAGAAAATAATTATTCGGAAATCATTAGTTATGAATTTTACATTTCCGTTACGAAATGTGAATATTTTTAACTTTTAAGTTTACTTTTAAGGCTTAGCGCTTGTTTAGTATCGTGAGATGTGGTGTGTGTTTTTTCTAAAGTGAGATATTTCTTCTTTACACAATATTCAACAACAAATAAGTTTGAAATCATTATATTCTTGTACATTTTACTATCATATTTAAATTTATTAAGACCGTGTAAATTTAAATTTATAAACAGATATGCAGTAGCTAAATAATGGGAAAAGGACAAAAAATGGAAAAATTGGGAGTAACGTTTATCGAAAACTTGACAGTTTATAATATAAGGCTTATTTCTACATGATTCCTCAAAGAGCTCGTACATTGATGAAAGAAGCAATCAGGATGTTTTTTCTACTAATGGCTCACCCACATATCTCTGTTATTCAGTGTAACCAGCGCATCTTACAAAGAGTAACAATGTTCTTATTCTGTTTGCATTTGAAATATTTTCAAATAAGTTATTACGCCTAAAATGACGAAAAGAAAACTTACTCGACCCTTCGCGCTATCACAGAATACTTTCAAGCTAAGTGGTGTCAGGGCTGCCACACTACTTCGCAGACCGACAGAATAAGCGGAACACTTGACAAACATTTTTGTGACGTGCCTTCACAATAACAGCTCATTCTAGTTCTTTTCTTACATTTTTTATTGTCATTAATGAAAATACATATTTCAGTTTATATGTGCACGGATGACTGATGATATAACACTTAAAATTACTTGAAAACTATATTAAGGCCAAATAGTGTGAGCCCCTAGACACATCCTTAACTAATATTAAGTTGCGGGAAAATTTTTAAACAATATATTCGATATTTGATTTGATTCTGATTGCAAGTAACAAGTTATGCTCATCCTGGTAATCGACCCATCAGCAAAAAGCGACTGCTCACACAAAACAAAGGTGGGTATGAAAGGGGAACTTGAACTTCATGAAACGATCGACTTTCTCGATCTTAAATTGCAGTGTGTAGTTACATGGGCGTTGGTTGCCTCATAACCTTCTCTACGTATTCTGTTTCGTCTTCGTATACACGTATGTACACAAGAATGTCACACAAACTATTAGTATTTGTGAATATAAATAATTAAATTAAATAACTACAAGGAATGGCAGGGATGAAACAGAAAAGTTGAACTAGGAGAAGTTCCCCCTCACTTTATCTTTTTTTAAATTTTATTTAACCAAATCAGTGGATATTATCACTTTACAGGTGAGTGTTAGCTTTTATATGTTACATAATTGGCTGCACTAGAATGGCCCGAAGTTACAAGTAACTGCAAATTAAAGCACCATCATACCCCCATTTCTGATTGAGGACATTCCCACTAGGTACCTCTATGACAATTGTTGCTAATTTAATGAAATATAAAATAAATATAATACATACGATTCATCCTACGAGATGAAAAGTTGAAAACATTGTTGAAGTTTTGTAGAAATAGGCTCCACTTTCTTCATTTGTGCACTTCCGAGGGGTGGACGTCCCGTCGACTCATTGATCTGCCCATTCACTGTCAGGCCCATTTACACGCCTTCCTCGGCGGCGAAGGGTCGAACCGTTTTCGTTCCGCAACGACCGGTGAGCTATTTTTCCTTAAGAAACGACTTTGTACGCACACCCTCATTCTTAAAGCGTGTTGAGCGTCCAGTTCTGGTCTGGTTGCCGAGCGTTGAGACAAATTACGTGAGCAGCTAGCTATTCGTTTGCAATAAGAATACGCTTCCCCTTGAAGTGTTCGTTCTGCTATGTGAGGTGCGTGAAACAATTAACATTCTACTGATCAAGCTGCTGGATGCTCTAAGAGAACCATATTGAGAGAGATTGTTCGAAAGTAAAATCGTCGGACCCTCGTAGTCGGCAGCTCGGCATATCTTCCACACACCGTTTCTCGACGGTTAAAAGAAGGTGACATCTCATCTATGTGTCTCATTGATTCAGGATTAGGTTTTATTCTTCTATAATATTCTTGGTGTAATATTTTAATTCAACAACAAGGTACCGAAAATAGAGAAAATGTCTTTTAGGTGCCGTTTGGTAGCAGCTGAGAAGAGGGTTGGGTAAAATCGAAGCTAGCTCAGAATAAAGAGATTAGAAAACTAAATAGAGCGAGAAAGTCTGTGTCATTCTATTGTACTAATAGTTGTTTTTTCTGACAAACTGTTCAGAAAAAAATATTTTGAGACACAATGCGTTTGAAATTAAACGTTGGATAGGCAGGAAAATGTATGTTAATTCCGCAGATGGAAGGCGTAGCCTTGTCAAATTTTGGGCTGATGGTTCCTGGGGGAACATCTCCTGGACAAGTATTAATTTCTCCTTTCCAAGGATGCAGTTATTCCACATTAGGTACCTCGTCTATGACCTTAACTCTAATGTTTCAATCAAGGAAATGGAGTAAGGAAAAACCATTGGCAATTATGAGGTCGAGAGACTCAATGTTTTATATCAACCACCCAGCCAGAAGCCTCCATATCAAATATGACACCCGTAGCGAACTGTCAATTTCTAAGTTTTTAGGTTATTTACACTACTCCCATGGAGCTGAGCTCCATGAACACTCCGCCTGCGGGTTCGTGTTGTCACGCGCCACATTCTCGCGGTAAAATGAAGATTCTTTCACAGACATTTGTAGTGTAGATCCCGAGAAATCATTAAGTCATGGAAAATGAAATCAATTCCGAGTATGTACGTTTCTGTCATGATACCTACTTGCAGCCTACTTGTCACCTGGCGATCGCCTGGCGATTGTGACGCCTCTAGCGGCCATTGTACCGGCCACATCACATAAGTGCACGAAATGCCTATGTTGTTTTCACGTTTATGTAAATTCTTTATCGTGACTGGCGGTGACTTGAGGCGTTTATATTGTGAATATTGTTTGCAATAAAAGTTGTATTTAAACTTTAATTTTAACCGCCTTATTTAATACCTATTAGAGCTTCGACGTAAAAGTAGTAGTTGACAGTGCCAAAGGCATAGATAGATACGTGCATTTTAGTGAAGTGATGTCTGAAGTCCCCTTGTATTCATGTTGGCGCTTTTGACAGCCCGAGTTTGTGTGGTGAATTAATATAAAATTTAATTTTGCATAATTCACATTGACATCACCAGCAATTTCCCACCACCGTCAATTCCGTACAACCAACAGGTAAATTGGTTATGTTATGATTGTAGGAAACTCGAAGCCCCAATTTTAGGAATTTCAATAAAACTACATTTAATTGTAAATATTTTTTTAATTCAGTGCACGGTTTTTTTGTTGGGTATGTAGTTTATGTATTCTATCAGTTAAATAGAAAATAGTTATTTTCTCAGTGTTAATCTCCAAGAAGTCGGTTACAAAAACAACAACAAAACTTGTTATAACCCATTTTCCAATTACTGGGTCAATCTGCAATTGTTAATCTTTGCAGTTATGGGGCTGAAATTTATTAAATAAACCTTTTTGTAATTATCAAAAATATGAACTCTACATTGATCTTATTAAATTATATGCTTAGAGATTTGTTCTTCACTGATGTTTTGATATATTTGTAAGAGGAACACCAGCAGATGGTTGTGGCAAGAATATATTATTAATTTTGGTTCCAAATAAACTACCATTACCTTACAGAGATTATGGTAATATTATAGATGTAACAAATGCTCTTAAGTGTAATAATAACCCTGTTTCTCTTTGATCATCTCACCACACAACTTCGGTGTCCTGTTATCCTTCACCACTTTGCTGTCAAGCATATTAAATGGAGCCACTATCTGCTTAAAAACAATTCCCTTCTGTGCATTAAACTAACAAGGTGTCTTTATTTCAGAAACTTTTCAGAAGGGATACATGTTGAGTAGATAAAGATGCATCCTTAAGTACTAATGCTGATAAGATGACTTGTGTTAAGAGCTGTGATTTAGAATAAACACTTTGCACTTTCATACTTAGTTTCCTCTGGTATATTCTCATGTCAGCATTTGTTAGAGAATAGTACGAAGGGTATTAACACCATGTAATATAGAAAGTATTTTAAATTCTATTTATTGTGATTTTCTCACGTAGCATGTAGTGTCATGATTCCACTGATTGCACAAAGTAGTGTTATGGTAAACGAAGTAGAGCCAGACTTTGTTTTTCACCTCTTGGGATTCAAATTGCAGTCATCCATGTGCAATGTGTAGTGGATAAAAATGATTTCTGTGAGTTTGACATGTTTCTGTTACCATTCTTTCATCTTTGCCCAATCATCACCTCATTAAATTTCCATGGGATAACCTGTAGCATAACAGTCAGTGCACTAGCTTTCGATCTCTGGTTCCAGGTGTTTAAATTCTGGTATATTTAATGCCTGTATATTTTGAGATGGTCAAGCAGGTTTGCATCAAGTTTTATCAAAGTTCTTCTATTTCTCCTGTCTTTTGCTCCACCATATACTTTGTATTTTTTGTTCTCATCACACAATCTTGTATCATAATCACCACATTGTAATGTAAAACCGTGAGTAGGTAAAGAGTCACTTGGGGATGGCTGCATTTAAGATTCTAACTGTTGTTGTTGTGCCTTCTTGCCATTTAATGAATAAATGTCTAATCTATGGAAAAGTTCAGGGAACTCTAATAAATAAAATAAACTAATAGCGCCTGAAGGGTTTGGCCTGTCATCAGATTTAATCTTCTTTTATTAAATTTTTATTAATACGCATCCAGTATCATTTAAGTTTTATGAAAGACACAAAGAACAGAATTTTGATTGCATGTACCCACTAATAGAATTCTTAAAAACATGCAGGAGCTGATAGTTAGCGCTGGGAAGTTTATACAAGCTTTAGCTCTGAAATAGGCTTACAGATATACCACAAAAAGGTTGAAATATGTACAGAAATGCTTTAAAAATGCAGCATTAGGTTATAACAACAAATATTCCATAATGACATCCACATCCTTTTGGCACATAGAGAAAGAGGGTGTGTTCAAATTGTAATCATATTACCTCTTCTGCACGTTTTGTTTTGCATTGAGAACACAGAATGTCATACACATTTTGTAAAGATTTTCTGTTGTTTGAATGAGCCTTCTATTGACAATATCATCTTGTATTTAAAAAAAAAAAAAAAAATCCTTATCAGATGATGTGATGACAAATATTTTTGTTTTGACACATTTTCACATAATACTTTCTCTGAAAGGCAGGTACTTGTGGAATGTATTTTCTCATTTAATAATCATCTTCCTATTTTATCATTTACTCGATACTGTTTCAAATTTTACTGCAGGCACTTTCTGTCAGTCCTTTAAAGGTTTTTGCATGCCCCTATTTGAATCATCAAGAAACTTAATGCTTTGCATTATATATTAATTTTTACTTCAAAATAAATGAGTTCTTTTTGGCGAAAAAAATTTAAAATATGCAAATAAATACGTTTTTATGTCCTAAACCTCCAAAATATGAATTATATGGGGAAAAGTAATCAGATTGAACATTTCACTGTGAAACAAAATGATTTTAAGTTACTGCCAGGTATGACATAAACTAATAAAAGGAAATTACTAAATTTGAATAAACTTCCCAGCTTTACTGATTTCCATTTAAATGTAAGAGGTACTTTTGCTTATTTTGAAGCTGTCTGTTTTATTTGTAATTTGTTCACATTGGTACACCTCAATTTTATAGACATTTATTATATTACAAAGTTGTCAACAATCATGCATCTTCAGTTAAAATTTATATTTCAGTGCACATTGTGACAATATTATATTATCTTTTTGTTCTTTTAGGTGTATTTTTTTTATATATTACCATTGTAAATTTTAACTGAAGATATGTGATTTTTGACAACTTTGTAATATAATAAATGTAAATTTCTGCCTATAATATTGAGGGGTACCGATGCAAATAAATAAGTTACTTAAAGCTGCCCACCTGAAACTACAACTTGCTGATTTATTTCAATATAAATTTACTCAACGTTTGCGTACATAAGTGTTTTAATTTTGTTTTTCAAATGTGTTTTTACTCGTGTTCCAGCACATCTTCACAATGACTACAGAAGAATTAGCCCTCACCTGGGATGACCATCACAACACACTTGTGGGTGTGTTCAGAAAGCTACTGGAGACTAGCACTTTAGTGGATTGTACCATTGCAGCTGAAGGGCGATATTTGAGGGCACACAAAATTATTCTGTCTGCTTGCAGTCCATATTTTGAGGTAGGTTGTATTGCAGTTAGAGGTAGGGTATTTAATACAAATCAACAGTATGCAACTGGCTGGATTCATCTCACATAATTTAAGCAGAGTAATAGAAAAATAATCATCAACAATAACTAAAGCAACTAATAGACAGAAAAAGTATTTAAAAATAATTGCACATCTGGTTCACCTGACAATCCAGTTGTCTCAGACAATTTTGATTTCCATCTCAGTGTGTAAGTAATTTAGGATGTAATGCCTTCCATTCAAATTTCAATGATAATATTTATTTATTTACTGCCTGTTGATGAAAAAATTCCATATGGGCCATGGTTAGTAGAAATAGGAATAATGTGGAAAGAGGTTTTGTTAATTTATTTAAAGTCAAAATCAGTTAAGAACTTTGTGTAACATATTATGGGGAGAAGTGCAAACTGTGCATATTTTCTTGACCTCTGGGATCCCTACTCGAACTGACAGGCATGCCAATAATTAAAATCTCCTTAAAAACAGAAACCTGCTAATAAATAAAAACTCTTAAACATCATACCAATGCCTCATAAGTCCTCATATCTTGCCATATATCTTCCAAAACCACTCTTTGCTACTGGGATTCATAATTTCTTGAGCAATATAGGTGTTATTCAAAACTATCATACACTTCATTTAGAAATTGATAAAATCTTGTAGTATCGCCTTTTATCTTTAAGTCTGTATGAAGCTTATGCTCATTTAAAGATGGTAGTGAGAATGGAATTCAAAGAAACACATGTCAATTTTATGTTTTTTGCGGAAAGTAACAATGGTACAAAATATGGGGGAAATGCAGTGAACTTTAAGTGTCAACAACACTGGTGCACTGTAATTACATTTTGTTGAAGTTCAGATATAGTTTCATTTGTATATCTATTTATTTCTGTCTTTATTTTGTTAAATAGACTGTGATAAAAAAAGTTATGAAAATAGTTCAGTTGAGTCTTCATTTATAGGCAGCTCTACCAACAATAAAATCTGCAAATCCTAGGAATTATTAGAATTATTCATCAACTACTAAGCAGCCCTTCTTTAGTTGTATGATACTGCTCAAGGAAATTGTCCTCTCTCCTCCTTGTTTTCAAACAGTTCATTTCACACTTCAGTTTATTGTTGGCCTTCTTTCGGCATATTTTTCTCAGTGGCCAATCAGTGCTAAATATCGCAACATCAATCAGACAATCATTATGACACAATTGGGTAATGGATTTACATGCACCAATAACCAATGAAATGTGAAGGCATTTATGAAGTAAGAGCTTTGGAAATATGCTCTATGAATTATATTAACCTTAATAAACTGTTTCTCATAACTTTTATGCACAGGACAATTATCTGGCACTTTACTCCTACTATACCACTTCATGAAATTTCAAAGAATAGTATTAGTTTCCACAATGCAATGTCTACTACCAAAGTAACATTACTACTACCACAAGTAACATTTAGCATTAGAAATCTGTTTCATCACGATTCCAAGAATAGCATAGCAGCCACCTTCACACCACGAAATAGGGAAGTTTCTTTTCCAAGTCCTATTTTACTCGCATTTTAGGGTAAGCTTCCTCTGTGACTGTGAGAATTCAAATTGTGTGTTCATCAGCGATACTAATTTTCAAGATGGACCTGACAGCATATAATACTCTAAACAATTGTGTTTTTCCTGTTAAATATCAAGCACAATTCAGTAATAGGAAATTAATGTTAACTACAATGAACCAATTATATAGAAACACACCTTACAAAATCAAAAATTAAATTATTTAAAATAACTATAGTAAATAAATATGAGTGTAATAATTAATTTATCTGAATAGGAAACATCAAAGACATTCTTCAGTTTCACTGTTGTTGAACTGATTTTTTTAAATTTGTTTGATATTTTCAGATGTTGTTCTCTCAAGAGAATGAAAAGAATCCAATAGTGGTTCTTAAAGATATAAAATTCCAAGAATTACAAGCAATGATTGACTTTATATATTCTGGCAAAGTTAAAGTACCTGAAGATCGTCTAGGAGATTTTGTAGATGCAGCAGAATCTCTTCAAATTAAAGGTTTAGGAGGTGATAATTATCAAAGGAATGTAAGTTTGAGTGCATTTGGTATAGATATTTAGTGATGTGCCTTAAAAATAATCATCTCTCTAAATTTTTCATACTTTCTTTTTAACAGAATTTGGGAAAGGAGAGACTTGGTCACCCCTTAACCAGAAAGGATGACGGTGTTTCCCCAGTCCCTCACAAACGCAGCAGACAAAGTTTTTTGAGTGCTAGTGAAGAAAGCGTAGGTGAGATATCATCAGCAACGAATATCAGTGAAAATAAGAACAATGAAAATGTGTCCCATCAAATGCAAGTAGATATACTAGATGCTGAGCAGAATTCGTGTATAGCAAGCGCCACGCGCTGTTCAGCTGCTTTTTCCACCAGTGTGCTTAGTGCTCAGATAACCTCGTCATCGTTAGAATCCGTGCTTCCACTCTCTGAAACTGTTGTTGTCAAAACAGAACCTGAGCCAATCGCGGAAGTTTATCTGCCAGACTTCAAACCAAAGGAAGAAGAGGGTGCCGAGGACATTTTGGGATTAGACAGCGGGGGTGATGTCACCGAAAGCATTGTGGATGTCAACAGTCAACACTCTACTAATCAGTACTCTGGTGAGTACATCTTAGTAATTCAAAACTTTTTTTGAAGGGGGATTCAACAATAAAATTTCCATTGAAAAGCTAAGAGAAATATGAATCAAATTAATGTCATTTGCTATTTTGCTTTTAATCCCCCCGCCCTTCTTTTCAAGTAAATGCTACTTGTATTGTTGTATCCTTCTTTTTTATTTAAACCATGTTTACATTCAAATTGTTACATTGGTTATGTAGTTGACTTTAATATGATCTTCCCATTTTCATCTCAAAACCCCATTAAATGTGCTGTTAAGATGAGTGTAACCTAACATACTGGTTTCTTTGAAAACATCACTTTTTCTCAAAGTATTTTACTAGAAAATCTGTTGTAAGGATTTACATTTTTTCCCCTCTCCCTTTCCTTTCTTTCTTTTCTTTTCTTACAGTTGTTATCTTTGAACAAATTTCATTTCAAGATTTTAAAAATAGTACCTGCCGATGTGATTTGTATATAAAGCCTGCAGATTTCAACATACCTGCAGGTGTGATTTGTAAACTGTATAATATTAATTTACTTAGCCATGTCTTAAACATATTGAACTAACAAGTGTTTTATTTAAAAATATTTTCTCTAAACTATATAATCAAATAATTTTAATGTTGTATTTTGGTATCACAGAATTTTCTCTTGATCATTGAAAAAACTTCATTTTGTGAAGGTGCAAAGCCTTCATTTTGGATGTTGCTAAATGGTTTTCCAAAAGTTTTCTATGTAATTACAGATTTAATTAAAGTTGAATTCATTGTAAATTTTGGATTTGTAAATGATCTAAAGTGAAACATTTTCATATTAGTTCTTACCTAAGTGAAGGCCACTATTATCAGGAATGTCATCATGTAATTTCAGACAGTAATATTTTATACTTGAATTAAGTCCACTATCATTTTCTTAGTTTTTGTAGGAAAATTTAAACAATTGTTTAAGTACAGAAGGTGCTCTTTCGACATGATTCAATTTTGGTTTCTATTAGAACCTTTCCTCCTTGTTGGTGATGTCGAAAAGCTGCACCAATGCGTTGGCGTGACATAAACCTTTGTGTCTGTTGAACATTGCTTGCTTTACAAATTGAAGCATACTTGAATGTCTAACTAGTGGGCTGTATCTGACAAACAACCCGCTTTTCATGGGCTCCATTTGTTTCTTTTAGCAATTCTTGATGTGCTTAGGAATTACATATTTTTCTTCAGACATTTCAGTTTTTATTAACAATGTTTGGAAACAAGCCAGCTGGGACTGATTCATGTTTAGTCAGGAATATGATGGGAACCAAACAATCTTTAACATAACTTCCTGCATCCCTGTAAAGTTTGAGCAAGATAGAAATTAGGGAATTTTTGTATATTATAACTTTGATTCAAGGATATACTGCCAAAAAAGATCTTTTGGGATCTTGGGGGGATCTTGATCCCCCCAAGCAATAAGAAATTAAAAATCACAATAAAATGTAGTATTATTGGAATGACATCAGGTGGTACAATTTGTTAGTTTTTAAAGAGTGCAATTCTGTTTCGTGTTTTGAATGAGTTTAAACCAAGGACTCCAATTTGTAAACCTATTACTGATTGTGATGGAAATTTAGGGGGAGGGATTTTGAAATTAAATTTATGAAGTATTTAAAGAAAATGTGTTTATGTGTGATAAAAACTTATTATGCAAGATGGTTAATATTTGATTTTAATATTAGTGCACAAACATAAAGGAAACAAATACTGTAAAGAATAACCAGTGTACATCCTGAACAATGGCAAGTCATGGCCTTTGAAGGGAGGTATGTATTTAGACCTAAATTATTTGTATACAATTTACCTTTAAAGCAAGTTCCAATTTTAACTCCCTGTAATGCAAAAGTCATACAAAAAAGAATTTTATGTACAAGAAAAAATTAAAACTAAATTGTATGATTGGAACAATAATTAAAACCTTGTGTAAGAAAGTTAAAAAGAAAGTGGCGATGAAATCATATTAAGTACCCAACATGTTTGTATGGCAGTGAAAATCAGACAACGACCAATGAGATTTCAGGAGCCAATTAGAGACTTGTGGACAAGAAAAGGAATTCAAAAATCTGCAAAGAACTCTGAGTATTTATTTAAAGTCTACAAAGTCCAAAATTCCTTGACCCATCACATCGCAAGACAACAATCAGCCTAAGAAAATTCTACAGTACCACCCACGAGGATGAAGAAATCCTGGTTGTCCGATGAAGTGATGTGGAGATGGGACTGGAGGCGTAACAGGCTTTGTCTGTATACCCAAAGAAGAAGAACACATTCACTACTGTTACAATTCAGTTTTTAAGAGGATTAAGATGTAAATCATTATCAGTTGCATTGTTATTGCTAGGTGAGCTCTTTGCTCCATAGGTGCATTTCATGTTTGATCACAAAATCTAAAAAGTTTAATGACAGTGAGACAAACTGTTCAGAACTCTTTTAAAAAAATTTAAAATGTAACTTAAAAATGTTTAGTTTAACAAAATGCAGAGAATATTCCAACTTTTTGAGGAGAGTTCATTTTACTTTTCACACCTATAGATTGATTTGAAATCACAATCGTACATGATGATGTAAATGTACTAAACTCTCTTAAGTGATGTCCTCTGATGACGAAATTACACTAAGGCCTGTTTTCAAAGTAAATGGGGGTGATTGTTCATCCCTGATGTCCCCTTCTTGAAAACCAGTGGTATTGCAGTTTTCCATTAGAAGAAAATAACGCTTTGCAAAAGATAACACAGGTCTACGAAAAAAAAACTTTGTCACCTATTTTAGCCCCAATAACTAATAACTATCACCAATAATATATATTTGCGTTTCTAACTCATTGAAGGTAATGTGTATATATTTTCAATATCCTTTTGATCACAATTAATGAAATTATTAAAAATTGTGATGTGGTAGAATGAAAGTACGGGCATTACTGGGTTCAGGTGATCAACTTACATATAAAACAAGTTTCAAAATCAAAAAAGGAAAATCCGTGTTGACCAGTGTAATTGAAAAGTAGCAAGCAACAAATTAACTTCTACTAATAGTTTTTATAAATTGACAGACAACTTATCTTGGTGATAATTTAACAGAATCAGTAATGTAGGCAATGTAAAGTGATGGTTTTAGTTAAAACTAGATATTTCTTAATCTGACATCTACAACTTCATGTAGTATATTGAGGTCATGTTATAATAATAAGAAAACATGTCTATTAAAGTTAATTTCCTTTTTTTTATTTCTAAATGTAAGCTTCTAGTATCATACATTTTAACAAAATATTATGAAATAAAACCGAATAAATGATATTAGCTAAAGATGATAGGGCAAATCAATGTCTTAAGTTTCAATGTTGCACCTGTGGGAAAACTTTCTGCATGACACCATCTGCCTGTCCTTTCAAGATTGCAGTTGAAAGATGAAGTGTAGATTTGTGTGATTTGAGTCTTAAAGTTGTCAATGCTGGAAATTGTATTTTAAAGCGATGGAATAATTCAACACTTCAGTTATTTTCTGGGATGAATTGAAGTACGAAGTATGTTATGAAGTAACAATGAATTATCTGATATGGAAGATAAGATAAATCAGGTAAGATTTTTGTTCTTAAATATTGAATTTATTAGTGGGCTAAATGCAATATTCAAAGGAATAACTTTAATACTTATAATGCAGTAAATGACACCTCATAATGCATTTGTTACTGTTGTTCCAGGGAGACATTTCTGCTACCACTCTGCAAAGTGTCGAGCAGTTTGTGTGGCTTGGTGAAATAGAAGCATAATTGTTGGATACATCTGTTTATTACTTTAAGAGATCAGATTGAAGTAGCAAGTTTCTGTTAGATACAACTCTCGATGATGATACTGGCACTATTGCCATTGACTGTAGAATACCATTTTGTTTTGCTCTGTCAGCTCTGCCTTGCCACTTGCTGCTAGCAATGTCTTCAAGCAAAGCGTAGCTAGACTAGCTCCTTGCAGTGTCTTCAGTGTGATCTTCAGTCAGTTTGTGATTTATTTATTTGGCAAATACATTTGGCTTAAAATATTTTTGCAATGGGCCTCCTTGAAAGAAACTTGTTCCAATTTTACTCATCGTTAGTGTTGCAGGGTATTTCTGGGGAAGTTTCAGCAGTCGTTTTCTAGCCAAGAACCAGCAACATTTTTTCCATGTCCATAATGCAAAATGAAACTTCTTTTTTGAACAATTTTCCAAGAAACTTTATATAATTGCAATTACTACTAAAATTTGTGAGGAAGGACTGAGAAATGCTTGCAGGCTTCGTTGTGAAATCCTGGTTTATGCCTGTGGAGATGTTATTGGTTTTTGTGTGATTATTGTGTTGCTCTAGTGCATATGTGATGAACATAACCTTTTTGTATCTTAACTGACTGATAGTTTCTTTATGCAATAAACGATTTTGGAAATGTTACAGAATAGGGAACGAAGGTTTGCCCTTATTGCTTGAGTGCTGCCCTTGTAGCAAACAAGATTTTTTTGGCCCATTTCTCTGTCGTCATTTGGTTGTTGATTTGAAGAAGTTTGTTTGTTTTCATCAATGCCATGTATCAAGATGTTTTTTGATCGTTGTTCTCTATCAATGTATTCAGAATAAAATGATTCCAATGAATCAGCGTTTATATGAGAAATAGTTCCAGTTGAATTGAGTGATACTTTGATTTCATTATGTTCTGTCTTTAGTATATTATTTTCTCTCATAATATCCATGACTATTTTAGTAAGACTCAACAATGATATTTTGATGTCTATTTCATCATTGATGTCTGAACATTTGTCACAGTAATATTGCATAAGCCAATTTGATTTTTTGAGCACAAACACCTACATTTCAGAAGAAGTCAGTGAAGCACATTTCTTGTGAAATTTAAGATTACATTTGTCACATTCAACAAAGTCAGCTTCACCCGATTTACCACAAATTTGGATGACTTTATGACAAATTCCACACTGGTCAGCCATTTAGATAAATTAAACATGCACTTTTGGAAATAATACTTTTTATCACTCAATTATAAATAAATATCTTACAAGCCAGTAGCTAAATGCAAATAAATAGGTTAATACAAATACAAGTAAAATTTTATTCGTTAGTTCAGTCAATCTGCATCACTCAAAACAAAACACGTCCGACTCCGACTGAAGCTGAACGCAAATTTTGAAACAGGTAATTTAAAATTGGCGCCAAAGTGGCAAGTGTTGCTATCAACAGCAATCTGTATTATTTGACCTTAATCTCAAATTTATTATGAGATTATGGTTTAGATCAGGATGAAATATTCACTCAATCTTTTCCAATCGCAAGTAAAAACTCCTCCCTCCTATTGCACAGTCAAATCATATCTCCAATTATCTCACAAACTCAAAAATATACTCCCCTTTGCTAAAACTCAAAAACATACTCCCCCTAATAAAATTAGTCACTCAGCACTACTCATAAACACACCTTATCACACCACCGTATTGTCGAACGACTTGATATAATGATAATCAAAGACTGGTTAAGAATGTCTTTCAATCGCAAGAGGATTGCAATTGATCAATCACAATTCAATCGCAAACTAAGAATTGCACAACGCTTCAGAGTGCTGAGGAGAGAGTTACGCCTGGAAGAGACTATTTTGGGGGTACTCTGAAAATTGTAAAACGGTTAAAAAAATAAGTGCATTGACATTGTGTCAGCCAGGTCATCTTTGTTTTCACTTTTTTATCGGAATGTTCTTGTACGTAGTTTGGATTACAAATAGTCTTTCTTATAATTAAATTTGTTCAAAGAATGTGAACCTGACCAGGATTTAGTCTCCTTGCTTATGCCCATTTGCATCCAAAAATGGTGACAGGGTGATGACAGTTACTGAAAATATATAAATTGTCTTCCTCTTTTAAAACTGATATTTTTCTATTTAGCTTTGTTGCTATAATAAGACATGGCTGAGGCCAGATGTTTCTTCTAGTGTGTTCATTGATACAGATTCTTTTGATATTATTTGATATGACAGATCTTACTCTAGAGGAGTGTCGCTTGATGAAACCTTTACTTATTCTTTAGTTGACTTAAATCAATTTTTAGATGCAGTCCAGGATATTCATATGGTGTATGTGAAAGTCTGTATTCGTCATACGTTGGTCTGTTTTATCATTGTTTACATTTCACTGAATATATCAGTCTTGCTATTTGATACTTTCCTACATGAAATATCCGGGCTTGATTTTATTACTCAAGATAAAGTGATTTCTTTTTTTTTTTATTTGTGTTTCAATTTATTGAGAGAGCATGATTCATTTAATTATCAATTATATTCAATTAATTTCATTCATTAAATATTTTTAGGATATTTTGTACATGTAACAGATCCATCAAGTACTTCATGATATTAGAGATGATAATGACATGCTTCTATCGTTAAGTAAAATTGCCTCATAAATAGCAAACAGTACTTTCGTGCTGTACATAAATATTTCTTATTTTCAATGCACCCAGAAATTGCCTAGGAAAAGGTGTCTATGGTTTTGTTAGATGCCCAGCAACTCAGGACAAATTCTAAAACAATGAAAAAGTTTTGATTTTGACTGAAAGATAAAAATTTTCGCTTGTGATATTCTGTCTGTTCTCATACTATGTACACTGGCTGAACTCACATACATATTGCATCGCTGCTTACACCACAGCTGATATATCTGTAGCCGTGGTGTTTGTTCTAAAGAACTGTTGTAGTGTATATGTGCTATAATATATTATTAAGTTTCTGTAGGCCAGTAGTCTTTCAGAATTCCAGTCTTAATTTCTTTTGGTAGCATCAATACAAATTCTGAATGTACATTACTTGCAACATATAAATGTAAATTCCAGTTTGTGATCAAACTTTTTCTGTGTTTACTTTTGTTATTGGAAAATTATGTTGATTGAATAAAAATAACTAATCAGCCTTTGTTTCCTTTTTATTATACTAATAAACTGAATTTAATTATTTACTGAATACTTTATTTGAGGTATGAGGGAGGTTCAAATGTTATGCACTTTGTGCTAGGTCCTAAGTAGATTTAACGTTTAAAACTTCTATGCATCTATCTGAGGTACATTTTGAGAAAACTTGATGTATTTTTAACTGTTAAAGGTTGAAATTCCAGCTTCAGTAAAATTACAGAAATTCAAAATGTACCTTACAAACTTAGCTCAGTGTAACTCAATAACTTCCTATGATGTTTGGCATTTCATCTTGTCTTCAAAAATAACTATACTATCAGTAGAAACTACAGGTTTTGTCATTTCTAAATTTTATTGATTGATTCATCAATAGAATCAAACTATTTAAAAGATAGTACAGTATGGTCTACAACCCTTGAATTCAAGATTTGTGAGAACAGTGAGATTTTCTTAAGAAATAATTATGTCCTATCTTGAACATGTATTATTCAATTTCATTTTATAATTGCATTACCACTTCATCAGCTTTGATTTAAATTTCTGAAAGTTTGCTGCTTATATTCTGTCTCTGTTCATCAAATGATTATAAGCACAGCAGAGCTTTGAACTCTGTGTTCCATTTTTTTGGCAATCACAATTCCTGAATGTGCCCCACTCTATGTGCGAAATACAAGGGTATGCGGATAATGTCGGGAGGGATAGTCTGCTTGATGAAGGTAATGCAACCCACATTAGTGAGTTTGGTACACACAGAATGGTACCATCAGTTATTATTTCATATTTTAACTTTTACAAAGTTGTGATTACAGAAATTTCCATGAATAAAACATTGCATACAAGCATAAAACAACAATGTTCAATAAACATGGACTTGCATATATCGATATTTAAAACATCAGTATTTTTGAAGAAACATTGATATTTTGAAAACTTTGGCATTATGTAAACTGACAATGAGAGGAATTCTAGTCTATATTATAGGGTGCATGTGGAGTATGTGCAGGGGTATAAGCGGGGAACATGTCATGATGGAGTTTATACTTTTATTTAACGTTAAACACAGTTACAACTTTGTAACATTCTGTGAGAAGAAGTGTACTCTGTGCGTGTTTTATTAAATTCTATGAGCCGCTCCCTAAGTCATTTACAAGTTCATTTCTAAGCATGAAAATGAGCGGTTTTGAAAAAATGGATAAAGTATTCGCTTCCGAATAATAAAAACTATTTGCAAAGAGAGATCAGCTGTAGATTTGGGCTGTTATTCCTCATCGCGCCTTTCATGAAGAAATCCACTCACCGATGTGAGAACGTACACGATAATTTGAAATAACTAAATTTCCCTGTGAACTCTAGAAAACGTTCCCATACAGTGAAGTTACGTTTATGTAACATGTTCCCATTCAGCGAAGCAAATCAAGGAGACATCTTAACATCCACTCAAAGGGACACTGGACGAAACCTGATCGAGATGGGGATCAAAGACTCAGAAGCTGAGGTACAACACTTATAACAGATTCTTAAGAATTATACAGTCCAAATGGTAACTAATACATTAAATATCTTAGTGAAAATATTGTATTTTCACTTACAGTTCAGAAGATGGTTCCAATATGAAGCTATTTTCATTTTTGACGAACACAACCAATACATTTTGGGGAGAAATTCTATCGTGAACAAATTGGAAAAGATTTTCTCATGAACACTACTCTAAGAAATTCGCCCTTAAACATTCAGATATGAAATACTCCTAGACGCCTTGATAAATTTCCGTAGGTGAAGAGTTTTTCTCGCGAGTTGTTGGAAAGAAAATCGCTGGTGTTGTCTACCACAACGCTCAAGCGTTTCAAGGTTAGTTAAGAGAGGCGGCGTGGCCTCTTTATTTAAATTGCAAATTTTTAAGATATTGTTTTAAATTTACAAAACTGGAAGAACATTTTGTATATGTATGCCATTAACGGAGACTACTAATGGGAATGTTCCAGCAATTATAAATTCCATCTTAAAATATCTTCAAGAACAATATGTCATGTCAATAGAATTTGTACAAAGAATAGTTTCGTTTCCGAGTTTGTTTAATTACACGAGCCTCATTTGTAAAACTATTGGACTGCTCAAACATCGATGAGAAACATTCCCGCAGTTATAAACTCCATCGGAAAAGGTATACAACGACAATATAATTCTATCAAACCAGCCTTCACTGCCTTACTTTTATTCTACAATTAGAGACTATACCGAACATCCAAAAGGAAAGTAATATTAATTTTAACAATGACATTTAATGTATTTTTTACCATTTGGACTGTATAATTCTAAAGAACCTGTAACAAGTATTGTACTTCAGTTTCTGGGTCAATGACCCCCATCTCGATCAGGATTTCCTCCAGTTTCCCTGATCTTGAAGCAAATGCTGAGATGGCCTCTTGTTTTTCTTCTGGACATGAATGTAACTTCAAATTAACCTCTCCACATAGCACATCACACACAGTCTGTTTCTGATGTAAATAAAAATATTTCTTCCATTCAGTCGCGTTTTTTTTTCTCTCTCATACATTTTCTAAAATTCATCCTGCTTCTCACTTTGTACCTCTCCCCTGAGTGCGTGATGTGCGTGACGGGTCTGTTCTAAGAAGTGAACGCCTGCGCTCCGAGTTCCCGCGAGCCCCCCCCCCCCCCACACACACACACACACAAGGCGCGAGTCGGGAAACGAGTGGGGCTGGCTTCGCATCTGCGGAGCCTGATCTCAGGACGCCAGCCAGCGAGCTGATGTGTGAAGGGGTGGGCAGTGAACTAGGCTGTTGTCGCGCGGTCTCTTGCAACCCGCCCTCGTCTTAGGCGCGAAGACGTCTGTCCCGCAATATTTAGAATGAA